TACGTAAAGGGTCAAAATCCAACTGAATCGTTTCCTCTGCTTGTTGATATGGAGATGAGTATCGACTGATTTGGGAGATTAATAAGCTCATGTCGATTGGCTCATTCTGGGTAATTCATGAAGATGGATCCCACAAAATGTGTTGAAGAAGGAAGAAGTATACCGAAGTGAAGGCTGCAGAAGACAAAAACATTCCTAATAGTTTTTATTCTGTGCTAGGTTCAATGGAATCTCCGACATGGTGAGAAAATGAAGATCGGCTATAGAAGACGATGAACTATTAGAAAGAAGAATCAAATTGCTATGGGAAGCAGTGGATAAACTTTGAAACTCGGAAACATTATCATTTGTTATCATTTGTACAAAAGAACTTCAAAATGTAGTGCCTGTCGGGCAATTGGATGATGTTGTACCAAAAATCTTGGTCTATATACAGGGTGAATTGGGTGATTCATGTAACATTGGATTTTAGTACGCTGCTATAATAGAACATGCTCGTTCTTCATATTTCCAGTCTTATACTACTCCAGTACAGGGATTGTCAAAAGTCGGTGCCAACTTTTGGCACTCCCTGTGCAAGTAGTTTAGGAAGAACGTGTATATTCAATTTGTGTTCTAATCAAGTTCTTATCCCAGAAAATTTCTAATGCAAAATTCACGTCTATCACCCTGTGGAGTAGCGATGCATTTTTTATGGCATTGGATTATTTTCCAGTTGAAAATTTGTATGGATCTTAAGTATGTACTTCTGGATATACAGGGTGTTTGGTTCACCGACGTATATCTGGAAGGAGGCAGTAGGTAATGTGATTTTGAACATATTTAACCATATACTGGTTGTCAACGAATATATTAAAACAGTCAATTTTTCTTGAATATTGGGTGTATCGAAATGAGATTTGGCATATGTGAATGGCATTTGGAAAGGAGAGTTTTCACATTCCGGTCACTTCTGGTTTCACCGTAAACGGCTCCGGCTATGCATTTTAGAATGGAACACCCTGTATATTGTAACATTTTTTGATTTCCAAGACAATTCTGGATCAGAATGTGACATTTTCGAAAATTTCAACGCCTACTTCATTATTTTGAGTCACTTAATATTGAATAAAACTATGGGAATTTCACTGTTCAAAAATCTTATGTCGCTGTCATTACCTAGTGAGTGTTTTGTTTTCCAAAGAAGACTTATAACAGCAAAATGTTATGTATCATGGCTATCCATCGCTCACTTGACAAAAGTTATTCAGTATTTTTCTTAGTTAATATTCAGTTTATGTTCTCATTGTCAGTCCAATCGCAATTGAATATGTATCGTTAAATTCGTCAAAAAATACTTATTTCGGAAAATGCTTTTCAAAAAATGGTCGCCATGTGAAAAATAATAGTTTGACACAAAAATGGAATTTTGGCAACGTGTATTCCTATCTATCATATTGGTCACTAAAACTCTGCGATTGCAATTTTCTGACATCACTCGAGGTCCTCAATTTAGTTTACGTCTGATCTTTGCCACCTAGATGCAATATTAAAAGTGACCCTAAAAAAAATTTTAAACTTTCAAAAATGCTACATTCTGATTAAGAATTGTCTCAGGAAATATTACAATATCCAGGGTGTTACACTTTTCAAGAAATCATCGCTTATAAATTGGAAGTTGGATTCTAACGAGCCAAAATATGTTTTTATCACATTTAGATCCATTACATGTTCAATATCGATGAAATACGTATCAAAATGTTTGACAAAACGATGATATATCAAATTGCTAACACTTTGTATAATAGTATATATTACCCCCTTTCAGATATACGGTGAACCAAACACCCTTGTTTCTAGAACAATTAACTATGAACCTTCATAGTTTTCATGGGAAATACAGGTATCGTAGTAAAAGTTGAAACATTTTTTTATTTGCCGCCTTTAAGGAGATCGAACTAATAATATCACGTTCGGTCGCTCAATGTTGAAAATGACATGAGCAGAGAGCGGCATAGAGGCCACTATGGTGCCACGATCATTTATGAAAACTGCATAATCCATTAAAAAGATCGGATTTACTAAGATTGTTGGTGCAACATCGATTTAATTAATTGACAAACTATATCTCGTCAAATGGTAGTTCATAAATAAACCGGAATATTGTTGCTGCTGTTTTGCGAAATGCAGAGGAACACTACTATTCGGAATATGAGTGTCCATAGCACATAAGATATCTGAGGAGGTGGCTTCTGGAGGTTCTAAGCTTCCTAAGTACACACTGGCGGATAAATATTGCCAGTATTTCTCTCAAGAGTACAGCACGTTTAAAAGATAGCCAACAATTGGAGAAATAGATGGGTATCCTAGAGCTAGAATTTGATATATTCTGAAAAGCTCATACAATTTCTGATCTGATATATTTGTAGACAGAAAGTCACTAAAAATTAGGAACAAGTGTTCATTTCAGAAAAAATGGCTGACACTTTCACGTTGCATAACAAAATGGCGACTTGATACTCCGTTGCATACCTAACGAAATGACGGCTGAATACTACGATGCATACCTAACAAAATGGCGGTACAATGATTGGTACCACATAAAAAGGCAAGTTACCCCGCACTTGGAACACAATAATCAGGATGGTTTTGGAAAGTTCATGTCTGTTTTACGAAACATGCTTGTCTTCTACAAATTTACGCGCTGTTCACATGACTGTGCTGCTGAGGGAGAAGTGGAACACAATGGCACAATTCCGGTTTATATTTGAACTACCCTCATACACCTTGCATTTTGTCATTACTCAAATTCTTGACTGGGTCGTTTGAAATAATGCACACAAGGTGAGTATACGATAACTTTGCCGCAAATGTTCCAAAGAAAAGATAACTAATCTCGGAAACTTCTTGTTTACACACTGTAAGTATTTTTGTCCGAAGAATGACTTCAAATTTTCTTGAAAGGAAGTTTCGTTCTGAGTGAGCGAAACTCTTTGCCCCAGCTCAATTAGAAAGATAGAAACATTTTGAGAAGAAGTTCTTGAAAGAAATTGAATAAGTTATATTCTCAACCGTATATATTTTTATATTTGGAAATTGGAGTTACATCATCGAATTTTTGTTTCCTTGAAATTTGAAGTGATCTATTTTTTCTGACCAAATTCTGTAGAGTATCTTCAAAATTTGCTTTCTTCCGTTGAAAAAATATAAATTCGTAAAAAAAGTTATTAACAAAAATTCGCTATCGTACATACGACACGACATTTTAGTTAATTCTTCTAGGTGTAACTAGATTTCTTCAACGAAACAACAAATTTTTTTTCTACAATATTAACTCTTCTGGTAAATGCCAAAATAGACTATTCAACTCCATTCATGAACCTCTTTTCAGATATTTTCTAACGACTTTCTCTTATAATAGAGCTGGGACATAAAGTTTCGCTTACTCCGTATATGTTTTTCTGGAACGCTCAAAATTGCCGTTTTTTATTAAAAAAAAAACATCGCTAATAAGATACTGAACTGTTATTGAATTTTTCATACCATTCGAATGTGTTTTGGTTGCAAATTATGAGCCAATGCGGTGTTCAAAGTTGTTGAAATTACGGCCTGATTCGAGCAAAACATGGCATCCGGCATCGATCAAGATGACATCAGTTGTTGATATTGCCACGCCAACCTGGACAAAACTCGGCCAACACGTTGCCACGTCCCAAATTGTAGTTCAGAATATCCCGAGTAGTAATCACAAGTCGACAATTGAACCGAATGCACATTCTCATCCCATGGAAGAATGGCATAATGTGTCATTGCATTTTATGAAGACCTTACATCGGCAAGACCTAACCACTGCTATGTGACCAAACATTCAGTATATTCCGCTGGTGACTCGGCAACTGCGCTCTGCGCTGTCGTAACTACGTGATACAAGATATGAAGCAATGTAGCCACGAACTGGAAGTAACAATTCGCTGGAAATATTCTCAATGATTCCGGCATCCTCGAGCATCCTCATATCATAGTTCAGAACTTTATTCGCAATAGTTTCTGAGAAACGTGTGAAGAAGTTTTCTGTCTTTAATCATGAAGACTAGTATCTTGTGAACTATACAAAAAGTAAATGTTTTCTTTCTTGCTTTTCTTGGCTATAAAAAACAGTCGCTTTTATAAAAGAAACCTAAGTTTCTTGATCCTGAAGATACTTTTTCATGAGCATATCAGTAGTACTGTTTTTTTTGTTGTGAAATGTCGCATTTGCCACACTTCCGGCTCTTCATGGACACCATATTGGATTTTTTTTTCAAATTTTATTATCATATATATCATTAAAGTGATATCCGTTATTCAGACACGAAAGTGTGATTCATTGCAGAACGGTTTTGTGGAGCTGGAAACTTATACTAAAAGTAAAATTATACATACATATACATTGCCGTCTTCAATAGACTTGAAAAGTAAACGAAAGATAAGTAGTTGGCCATGCATTGTTGTTTGGTACCATTTAGTACTATTCAATTTTCATTTCATATTGTTCAAGTTCAAGTCCAATCAATTCCATTCTGACAATATACTCACTATCCCAATTTTTCATAAAGCATCTGAGAGACGATTTAATATTTGATTTCTTTATATCCATGGCAACGAATTCCTTAGCTGATGAGTTAGAAGAGTTGATTCGTTGTTGAGTAAACAGAAAGCTTTATGCAACCGGCCCTCAACTTCCTATCATTTATTGGGAATCCTTTCCAAAGTATTAACTGAATATCATCAACAACAAAACCAGTCCATCACTATTTCGAACAAAGCCAGTAGAATAAAAAATGAATAATCTTGAATACGAGTTCTCGTTTTTATATCCTCTGCAAATTTAAAATGCTTTGATGATTCAATGCATTAGAATAACTTGAAACAGTTACACTTTTCTCACATTAAACCATTCAATGCATCCATTTGTCGTGTTATCATTTTTATATCGAATTTTCACTCAGCTAATGATTAATTATGACTTGTGATCCTTTCAGATAGAGAAAACGACTGCCGAAGAAAATTACACTCGCACCATGAACGAAAAGGAAATGCTCTTGAAAGAACTGGCTGCCAAGAATGATTCGCTTGGTCAGCTCGAGAGCATGGTGGAACAATTGAGAGGAAACCAACCGGACAGTGTCAAGTTACTTGCGACAATGGAGAGTGATAAAGTGGCTGCCGCCAGGGCTGTTCAACAGAATAAGGAACTAAAGGAGCAAATGGATGGAATGAGAGAAGTGGTTGCAAAATTGGTGAGTTTTAATGCACCTTTCCCTGTCCTCATCAATTATTCCCATAAGATTGTTTGCAATTGCATATTGAATCTGAATATTTACACTCCAATTTTTCGAAAAATATATTTCTTTTTTTTTTCAGGACAATGACAAAGTGCAGCTTACTGAGAAGCTAGACTTTGAACAATCCAGCAATAAAGAACTTCTTGACAAACTCCAGAAAACTGAACTCCAACTTCAACGGCTCACTGATGCAATTGAAATCAAAGATCGTGAACTCTCGCACTTGAGAGAAAGCTCCATGGAACTCAACAAACAAATATTGCAACAAGAACAGTTGGCCGATAGGCTACGGCATTACGAAGCACACGATAATTCATCTCACGCTCTACAAAACGATCTCCAAGAATCTAAACAGACTATCATAGAGCTTACAAATGAATTGAATTTATTGAAAAAAGAGAAAAATGACGAAGTTATTGATAAGATCACAAGTGATGTTACTGACGTTAAAAGTTTCGAGATAATAGACTTGAGAAAGCAACTAGATGAAATGAAACTGCAAAACAACGAACTCCAATCCAAGCTAGAAAATCACAGCATGATCGATAACAGTTTCAACGAAAATGACAGAACCGCCGACAAAGAAGCGATTATGAGATGTCTGGAAGATAAAGTCAAACATACAATGCAAGATATAGCTGACCTGACAGAAGAAAAACAAAGGTTGGAACACCTAGTGTTACAGCTGCAAGGGGAAACTGAAACGATCGGCGAATATGTGGCATTATATCAACACCAACGCATGGTTCTCAAGCAGAAAGTGCTGGAGAAAGATCAACAGTTCAAGCAGCTGGCCAGCGACAGACAGGAAATGAAGAATAAATTGGAAAAGCTCAATGTTCTCATAAAGACCCTGGTTGATGAAAAGGGTTCCGTTCCTAAGGAGCTTCTCAAACAGCACCAGAGTTTTGTCGATCACAGTGATAGTTTCTGCGAAGAACATTCCAAGATTCACAAGGAAATCGGTAAATTTGATGGCGGTGAAAGTATGAAGACGGATGTAGCAAGTGGTTCTGAAACGGCGGAGGAAATTTTGACACTTCTCACGGAAATCAAGTCTAGTAACTTGGTGCAGCCCACCGAGAACTTCCACCATTGCCCTTGGTGTTCTGGGCAACTCATCACAGTGTAGGTTGAACATAAAGTGCTAAAGAAACATGGAATTGAGAAGCCAATCACCGAGATGACATGGGTAACTAACTCAGACAACTCGATGCCTCCATGAAGCTAGTGTCTGATGAAGACATTCTGCAACTTTTCGTGACTCACGACAATGTGATGGGTCACAGTGATAGTTTATGTGAAGAGGTCGTTCCAAAACGTTGATGATGGAAATGGTTCAAAAATGGCGGAAAAGATCTGAGGTTCAAGAAGCTAGCTATCGCAGAGAGGACATGAAAGAAGAACTTGAAAAGCTCAATGCTTCCATGAAGATACTGGATGACGTAGGTTCTCCTCACAGAAATCAACAATAATTGCTCTTGGTGTTGAGCAATTGATTACAATATTGTTAGTATGAGAGTTAGTTCTCAGGGTCGGCTATGATATAAATATGCATTGTGTATTTATTTTTGGAATGATGTATGATTTATGACTTGAAGAATTCCGAAGGTCAACATTTCTGTGATAATATGAAAACTGAACTAAGCATAATATGAGAGTTGTATGTTGTATTCCAAATCAATTTTGATAGCTTTCATTTTGAAGATTGAATATAGTGTGCAAAACAATTAGATTTTTTACCCCAGGTATTATAATATTTCTCATTACAATTAACAACATAGAACTCCGAGTAAAATTTAGTTTATTAATCTATTTCAGTTCACAACTTTTTTAAATTCATAAATCTTCACTTCTTCAGAATTTTAATCTTGAAGATGTCATGAATTGGTATCAATTTCACTAAATATTGGAATCATTTATCAGTGAATTACACTAAGAGAAGTTTTGATTTCACACAGAAACTTTCAACTTTATTCATTTGGAAATTTCACAATGAGATGGATGGTCTTGCCTCATTTTGCAATGACGTAATTGAGTGTTTCAGTTTGGAATAAAAACTAGTAGATGTTTTTGTACCTACCATTTTGGTGTTTGCTGTTGCTTATGATACATTTATTATCTATCTCATATTTATGACACTGCATTGCATTTTCTTGAACAAGATTCAAATTTGTGACTGAAAATGTAAATTTTTTTGGTTTCTCATTCTGATTCAATTTGACCTGGAACTAAAGGGCTCAAATTAGTGTCAGTGAGACAGTTCAATGATTTTCAAATACATCTACACTTATGAGTAAATACTATTCAGTATTGGGACAGCAAATATCAAAATCTTAATCTGCAGTGTTGTATTGTGTTGATAATTTTTGTATTTTCTATTTTTCGTAACAATATAAGGATGCGTTTGTTGTGGTTACTGTGATTTTTTTAAATTCATCTGAATACAGAAATTCCAATGAATTGTTTGTTTTATTTCAATGTAAAGTTTGTGTTGGTGATGGCACAGCCGTCTTCAATTGAAAGCCATGAAGAGTGAACTTTGGCAACATTGTCCGAACGACCGAACGTGAACCTGTCGGCCATTCAAAGTGTATTGTGTAGGAAGTAAACAAAGAGTTTATGGAAGGTTTTGTTAATGTTTTCAATTATTAATTGGTGTATTATTGAGATCAAATAATTTTGAAAGTATTAGCAACAATCTAGGAATCGACTCGAGACTGAAAATGTGTGGCAAGTGCATTCAAAATTGTGTTAAATTTGAGGTTATAGTGAAGTGTACTAGTGCTGGTGTATTTGCAAGGGAATTTGTGTTGTTTTTTTCAATTTACTCCTGGAAATAAGTAAGTAATTCATTATTCCTTATGGAATATGCCTCCTAATTGTTGTGTGCCAGGATGTAAGTCAAATTACAGATCTGAAAAAAGCTGGGAAAAGATCATGTCTCAGTTTTTTTATTCCCGAAAGGGGAAAAATTGCGAAATAAGTGGATAACAGCAATACCTCGAAAAAACTGGACACCATCTCAACGTTCTGCAGTATGTGCAATTCATTTTATTGAAAAATATATCATCAGATATGATACATTCCCTCTGCAAGATGGATCAATTGGAAAAATTCGTTATGAGCACCAAAGTTAGTCGAAACAGCAGTTCCTTCAATTTTTCCAAATTTACCAAAATATTTTTCAAAACCAGCCAAACCATAAAAAACTGATCCAAATGAAAGACGTCAGAAATATTCAGATATTCAAAGTAATATAATAGAACAGTTTGAAAAATCAGACCTCATCCACAACTATGAACAGTTAGTTAGGGAATATGTTGAGAAAGTTAAAATTGATACTTGTAAAATCCATAAGACTGATGAAAAATTGTATTTTTATGAATCAGATTTGAAAGCAAATGTTTTCTATCCCAATGATGTGAATACTTTACAAATCGTTTCTCAAGTTATAATATCCAATGAGATGGAGGTCTAAGTTTTTCTTGGTGATAATAAACTTGGATTCAATGAATTGAAATGGATCCTTACTCATGACATGAACTTGAAAATATTCTAGCTAGATTCAATAATATCTCAGATCAAACTGACAAACACTCAGATATGAATGAAAAATTCGATATATCTCCATAAGTTATATTTTAACAACATGTTCAAAATTACGGCTTCAGTTCATGACCAAGGGAATTATTCAACCACATTATTCCTCGTTCTTCACTCTGTAAGTTCACTCTCGTGTATTTTTTACCTATTCCACAAAATAATCCGAGAAAATTACGTTAAACCAAACATTCAAAGCTCGCGCTCATATAAAAACCATTGTATTGCTAGGCGTGAATGGGACCGACGGTTTCCGTTCGTGCGACGTTGCCATTATCTCAGCACGGCTTGATAGTTGAAGACGGCTGTGGTGATGGTGATTGAATCAATATCAATTCTAGAGCAATATTAGAAATCTTAAAACGATTTGCCCTCGTGAATTGAAAGTAGCACTAACTTTTTGAGTAAACCAAATTCACTACTGGAACCTATATTAAGGCACACAGAAAGATGTAAACACCTGGTATAGTTTATAGGAAGTCAGTTGAGAAAGCAAAAAAAAATTTGACCGGCTGCATGTCGACAAATCCTTTGACAAGCCGCAATTCACAGCGGCCGGTAAAATATTTTTTTTCGTTACCACAAACTAAAGCTGTTGTCAGAAATTACCTGGAACATGATAGTATTGGTAAATTTCCAGACCACCCATGGCTGGTTACTTGTTTTTAGTGGGTTTTCGCCAATAGCCCTAGCGTCCTACATTTAAAATATGAATAAATTGAACAATCAAAATTCTCAACAAAATTAAATAAAAATGAAGAACTTCAAGATATGTATGTAACAATATGAATAAGATAAGTAGGTACTATGGAAATGCCAATAATTCTGAATTTCTGATTGGTAGAGTCACTTTATGTATATACACATATATTCGAGAGTATACAAGGTAACTTACTAAATTGAACATTGTTCTGATTGGTTCAAAATCATAGGAAGAAAATAATCAAAAAAATATGAATAACATGGAACCTAATGAAAATTCTCAGTGAATAAATGGTATACTCTGAAAGGTTTTGTTTTGGTGAAATTAGAAATGGGTAAAGTTCCACAGTTTCTATTTTAATGTCACATCACTTTCCTACACTTACACAATTTCACTACATATGTCACCTCACTTTCCTAAACTTCACACTTTGGTTATGATAATCACAATATGATTCACAACACTTATTAGTTTTCGTAACTGTTGTACACAAATACTGGATGATATATCACTAGTCACTATCGGACTCTTCATGACTTGAATCTTCATTTACCCTAATGATCACTGGATACTGTCCCGATGGTGGTTGAAACGCGGTGATAGGTTATTTTCACGTACTTTGCTTTAAATAGCAGCCCAGACCATCTCAATGGGGTTAAAAACTCAGTAATATGGGGGCAAACGTGAGACAGTATGGCCGTGTGCTCCAAAGAGTTCATCAACTACATATTCCTCCGGGAAATTTTTTTCCTGACCTTCTCCGCAGTAATTCGTTCTTCAGTTTTTTAGGAGATATTTCCATGCCTTTTTTCTCCATAATTTGAATAATGTCAGCCTTTTTCGTGTTGGTGCTCGGTATTTTTGTTTGTTGACGTGAATGGTATGACGCATTATCCATATCGATGACTGGATTCTCTGGAATATTTGGTATAAGCTGCTGTTCTGTCCATTTCTCAAATAATTCTGCCGTCATATCCTATCGTGATAATCGGCAGAGGATTGCTTGATATTTTCTACAGACAACAACAATGCATTGTCAACAAATCCATTTTCATTGCCGGCGTGAGGGATTCTCGAACTCGGACCACTCACATTACAGTTTTTGCTATCATCTACCCAACCGTATTGAACAACGTCATGAGTGTCGAACCACGTTTCATCTAGATTATAGGTCTATTCGCTTCACGGTATCCCTTTATTTTACGTAGATATTCTTGCCGATGGTCTACGATGGGTCTTGATTCCATAATCACCATCATTTTGTCTAATTTCTTATGACTGAACCCGCAATCTAGTAAAACATTTCGCAACGTACTTAACGATTTGTAATTATAATCCGCGTATTCATTCAACTTATCACTGATATCTGGCAATGTTGGCACCTTATTCTCAATCTATATAAAATTCGACGAATTACTTCTTCCCAAGCATCACCAAGCTTCTTTAGTATTTGTCCCACTCTTTTTCGTTTAACTTCATGAACTATATATACAACACCTCCGGTTCTAATAACTCTGTATATGGTGAGTATAAATTATTTCAGTTAATTCCTGTATTCTCTCCACAAGTTGGTTTTCTGAAGAATCATTATTCTCTTCCTTGAGACGCGAATAGACATTCAAAATTACCCTTTGCGTTTGAACGTGTAAGTCTTCATTGGCGAACTCCGCTTGATCTTCTTCCGAATCACTATCACTCACTTCGTTGACTTCATAAAAAGGCCTCCAGAACACAAAACCACTACGATTGAAATAATAATTTTCTGAATTACGAGTTGAACCAATGAAGGCAACCTAGCTCGTACCGCACTGCCCAGCGCAGGCTAG